GATCGGAGTATTTCATTTTCTTAATATCAGAAGGGAAAATAACTAGATATGTCATCTATATGAGCCCTATCTTTCAAAATATAATTAAGAATATTCATTTACATCAATTGATTATAATAAATAGAGCAATAGCACGATTTGGAGTTTTAGATATTCTTACAAATAATCCTATTATACATGATCATAGATTTGAAATCAATGCTAGGTCAGCTGTAAATCTATTATCAATTACATTACGTGGAAATAATTTTTCTTTGTTACCTAATTTAAAAATTGAAATTGATGACGAAAATGAAGAATAATATTTGCGGTAAGATTTTATTTATATTTTTTTTTCATTATAATTATTACAATCATTTAATCGTTCAATATAAAATATAAAAACTATGAAATTTACTAAAAAAGTATTACGATTTAATAATAATAATAATAGATATCAGAATCAAGAAAACAAATATAAAAGTATATAAACAAAATGATAGAAACTAAAATAAAAATAAATCAGAATCAAAGAAACAAATATAAAAATATATAAACAAAATAATGAAAAATAAAATAAAAATAAAAAATAATATTTAAATTATTTATAATATAATCATTATATATATATATTATTTATCACATAACAGTATTGCTTTTTTATTTATTTTAACTTCCAGGAAATAATTCATGACAATCTATACATATTATTATTGTTAAAATTGGAGAAGAAAAAATTGAGCCATATAAAAATTTTTTAAGTGATAAACATACTGTAATGAATATTAAAATTTTTATTATATTTAAACTTAAAGTAGAATAATTTCTAACGAGCAAAAATCATAAATATATCAATTATATTATTATTGATTTATTTTTTATTAATTCAAACATAATATATTATAATATTAAGAATATGTATGAAAATTTTTGTAAACGGAACGGGGGTCCGCTGTTTGTACCCCTTTATTTGGGCAAATAAATAAATATATTATTTATTTTATTATTTAAAACTTCTGATTAAAATTTCCTTAAAAAATATCTTTTAGATTGTTTTCACGAGCAATTTACCTTAATATTCTGAGAATTTAAATTTAAATTTAAAACTAAACTATACAAATATTTATATTTCGTTTAAAAAAATATAATTACTATGAGTAGTATAATCACTATAATGACTATCTGTATTAAATACAGATATTATTTTTTTTCTAATTGAAAACTTGTTTAATTAAAAATTTGAACTGCTTCTCGTGGAAGAATTATACCAACACGCTACTACAAAAATTGTTGATGGAGGCGGTAATAATAATACAGTCACCATATTTAACTTTTGAAACAGCTGTTCGATAAAAGTTTATTAACAATTTAATGTGAGTACTTCTCTCGAGTAAAAATAAATTGATATTTTCAATCATTGATAAAATATGTGAAGTAAGGTTTTATATTAAAACAAATAACACTATTAAATACTGATTTGCGAATACATCTGTGTATTTTATTAATTATATATATATATATATATATATATATATATATATATATATATATATATATATATATAATTTTTCAAATTCAGTGTCTTAGTTCTGACCGTTTTCACGTGTTTATTGTTTTGATGAGAGGTAATTTAGCAATTGGTGAAAAAAAGCCTATTTGTTTTTTTTTTTTTAAATGACACTGAAGTTAGCTGAAATCTAAAAATTTTTATAATTTTTTTTTTATTGAATAAATTATTCCAAAACAATTTTTAAAAAAATTTCATTTGTAAAAAACTTGAAATACTATAAGTGCAATTTAAATTCTTAAAATATCTTTTAATTCGAATTTGATTGATAAAAAAAAATTGAAAATTTTTAGAAATCTGCTAACTTCAGAGTCATTTTTTTAACAGTGTGATCATTGGCACATATATAGATTTGTTACTTAGCAACAGTCTAATAAATAAATTCAGTTGTTTATATTGAATCCCCATAGTTTTAAAGCAAAAAAACATAAGCATTTTGAAGCAATTTGATTTAATTGATCAAAACTAAAAAAAATATTATATACAATTAATTTGATTATCACTCATATTTTCAATAATGGCCACAAAAATTAAATTAACATCCAGCGATGAAATTCATAAATTTCGGTCTAAAATGACTTGGTGAGTATCGTCATAATAAAAATCTTGCATATAATTTTTTTATATTTTTTTTTCTTCAGTCAATTGGTAGGCTACGTCGATGCTATTGAATCGATTAAAGTTAATTCGAAAAGTGTATTCAAATTTGTTTTGAACAATGGTGCTGGTTTAAGAGTACAGGTTTATAGTTGGGAAGAAGAAAGTCCTCGCACTCAAAAAGAAGTGATCATGGGTCATGTAAATATTAATAATAATTATTATTATTTTTATTGTTATTATTATTGTTATTATTATTATTATTATTATTAATACTTTTACCATAATCATTTCTTAAATTTAGGTGATCTATCTTAATAGTGCCAGCTGTATTCCTGACTCAGAATATAACACTGGTAATTTTCATGGTGCCCAAATTGCTATTCGGCCATTCACCAGCATTGATAACTTGGGGAAATTTCAAAAAGAGACTCATGAGGCTTCAGACATCGAACCTGAAATAATTCAACTGATTCCATTAAATGCTTTGGAAAACTCGGTTCTTCCATGGAAATTCAGTAATTTTTTTTAATGTTTCTTTTTAACTTCCCGCTAAAAATCTCAGATTTTCAAAAATCGGGAATTTGTTACTCTAATTATTTTAATTTTATCAGTTAAGTAGATTCCTTTATAAAATGTTCATTATTTTTTTTTTCTAGAAATTTGCGGTTATTTGAAAACTAAATTTACTCCAGTTAAAGTTAATGATGAGATCAACAAAGCATTCTTCAGTATCACTGATGGCGTTTATTACCTCGATGCCACAGTTAATTCATATACCGCAGATCATGGCTTAGAAAAAGGAGACAAGGTTGAACTAACGGGATCAATGGTTTATTTTCGTAAGTTTAAAAAACTTCGTTTAAGATCTCAATTTCATAATAGAAAGACATTCTTGACTGTACTGTTAGTTTATTATTTTTTATTTTCTAACTTGGAAGTTAATTCTAGTTGAGTAAAGTTTATTTTCTTATTAGTTTATAATATTAATTTCAAAAATAGTAAAAAAAAATTTTTTAAAATCATTTTTACAGCTATAATCTTAAATAAATTTAAAATAGAAAATTTCAAAAAGTCTTGTCACAAAAACAACTAAAATACATTAAACTTTGATAAAAAATAATTATAAAATTAATAATTATAACTAATCAATACTTAAAATAAATAATATTTTTTTTTAATAAATATATTTAAATTTAATAGATATTTTGTAATAAAATCTTTAGGAAATGATAATTGTTTTCTCACTGTCGATTCAATGGACGACATCAAGATCCAAGAAGAACCACGGAAGGAATTGATTTGGCTGCTCAACGGGATTACAAAAATTGTTTTAAAGAACCCATTCAAGCGCCAAAAGATTTAATTATTTCTATTAATCGTTTAAATAATAATTCGTTCGATTTAATTAATTATTTAATTTTGAATTCTTTAATTACTATCATTAATCGTTTAACTTTTTTTAAAAAAAACCATTAATCTGAATTATTTAATTTTAAATTCTTTAATGACTTTAACTAAGCGTTTAACTTAAAAAAAAAATAATCTTAAATATTTAATTCTAAATTTTTCAATTTTCATACTTGAAAAAATTCTATCTAAAAGTGTCAATGATTTATTTAGTTAAATTTTTGGAATAATTGATGTGATTAATTATTAATAACAATAAACATTTATTTCCGAGCTGAGTATTTTATTTTTATATTAGCACATTTATTTATTTACTTTTAAACCCTTCTATACGTAGGATTCGTTTTTATGATTATTCAAACATTTTTTTTGATTTAATAAAAAATCCTAGAAATTATGCGATTCTAAATATTTTTTTAAATAAAAAATGAAAAAAATTGTTAAGGTAATTAAAAATTAAGTTATATTAATCAAATTACTTTATTTTTTATTTTTGTCTGTCAAGTCACAATTTATTCACGAATTAAATATATTTACCAAGTTAAGAATTGAATTTTTGAAATTACTATTGAATGCAATAATTATAATTATCAAAATATAAATTTATTTTTCCTAAAAATTTATTTATTAAAATCTTAATATTTTTTTTTTTTATTAATAAATGTAAAAAAAAATTTTGTCATTATGTTATTTGTTAATTAATAACAGTTATCGATTTTATATTTCAAAATTTTTATACATTTGGAATTTGTAACATATTTAATTTCAATTAACTTCACAATAGAAAAAGTATGTTTTTAATAACCTAAGCATTGGTATTATTATTTACATATTCGTCTGAGTAAAACAATATTATCTTCCTTATAATATCGACCACGATACATATTAACATCAATTTAAGTAAGTTATTTAAATATTGATTCAAAATTATACGAGTTACGATAATATTTTGATGTAATTCATTCACTTTTGAATCTTTGAAAATATTTAATGAATTTAATACAAAAAATGTCATTAGATATTTTATGGAGATTTCGTTACTATTATTATGTAAAGTTTCTTAAAAATTATTTTTTGAAAATTTAATATTCATTATTAAATTTCATTTATCCATATAATATTTCATTCATGATACTTAATAAATTATAATTATTATTCTTTCAATTTTCAATAAAAAATTATAAAAATTTTTATAAAATTAAGTAGAATTTTTCTTCAGTAAATTACAAAAATTATTTCATAAAAAAATTTATAATTTGATTTTAAATTTTGACTAAAAAATAAAAAATTAAATAAAAAAAATATTTTAAACTAATAATTTTTTTTTTAATGATGTAAATACAAGATAATAATGCATTTATTAAAATGCAAGAGCTTCTGATAGAAGTTTGATAAAAGACTATTTTTCAAATATTCAAACCGCAATAACTTTTGAACA